TTTTTTTTGGGTTTTTTTTTTTTTTTTTTTTTTTTTTTTTTTTTTTTTGTGTGTGTGTGTGTGTGTGTGTGTGTGTGTTTTGTTTTGAGACAAGGTCTCACTATGTATCCCTGGCTGGCCTAGAACTTACTATGTAGACCAGGCTGTCTTAAACCGCCCCCTGCTTCTGCCTCTTGAGTGCTGGGATTAAAGAGGTAAACTACCACACACAGCCTTGGGGTTTCTTTTTAAGGGAAAAATCACTTAGAAAGTTGAAGCCAAAGTATTCATACATTTAAAGAGCAGATATTTACCTGTGAGAGCCGATTCCTGAAGGAAGTACCCTGATCCTGTTATATCGGAGGTCGAGCCACTTCAGGTTGGGCAACAGCTGGAAAAAGTCCTTAGGAATCCCGCAGAGTGCATTCCTCTGCAGGTGCAATTGCTTCCACAGAAAGGGAACCAGAGGATACTTTGTCAACTAGTGAAATTCTAAATGGGATACATCCAAAAAGCATCTCCAAAAGGACAAAACAGTCACAACCACACTTAAAAAAAAAATGCCCTTAGAGAATTCAAAGAGTGGACACAGGCCCAGAAAGTGGGGGTGGGGCTGTTTAAAAAGCATTTTCCTCCTTCCTGGCCATATTTAGTACCATACTCTGAGTAAACCCAATCAGATCTAAGCGTTTCATCCAGAGTCAGAGATTTCTTCTGCTATGGTGTGATCTTCGATGACCAGCCACACAAGAAGAACCCCGGAAGCCAGGGCCCAGCAACAGCCTGGTGCATCACCTCAGAGGGGCTTTGAAGTCACCATCATAAATGAGGTAGAAAATGCACGTGGCTTGATCCGAGCCCTGTGACACATCCCCACTTTCATAGGGTGGCACTGGTACATACTGTTTTCCTGTCTGTGCACACCCATAATGAGGTTTGGCAGGTGAATTCAGCACAGCAAGAGATTAGCAACAACTAATAATGCACTAAAGCGGCAGACAGCGACGCGCGGCCAGAGACAGACGCCCGCAGAACCCACCACACTTCCAGGGCGCGCGACTGAGACCAGGGGACCGATCCCCGTGGGAACGTGCGCCCATAGCACATGGCTCCACATACACGTATATGTCCATGTACATGAGAATGTATACACGTGCACACATATGCCCTAGGTACATAAGGATGAATATCTACATGCATATCTCTATGCCTGTCTCCTGATACAAGAATCCATTCCCCCCCTTCCCACATGAGTGACTACCTCCAACTACACATGGACACAGGTCTTCACACACACAGGAACATGTTGCCACACACATGCCCATGTATAACTCTGGGCACATGAGGACACATGTCCTCAAAGACATGCATGTACATGCCTCCATAATTACCTTTATTGGCAGAGGCTTTAACCTGCTTAGGCATGCTCTTCTCTCAGTGTAAGCTAATTATGGTGCTCAGACTGGAACACACGTCCTTCTGAATGTGGGATAATGAATCTCAGGGAAGATGGTGTACTCTCCCTCTTCAGAGGCAAGGCAAGGCTCTACTCTGTCAGTGGAGCCATGTGCTATGGGCGCACGGTCCTGCGGGGATCGGTCCCCTGGTCTCAGTCGCGCGCCCTGGAAGTGTGGTGGGTTCTGCGGGCGTCTGTCTCTGGCCGCGCATCGCTGTCCGCCGCTTTAGTGCTGAAAGTCTCACAGCACCGCCGCTCCGCGTCTGTTGTGGCAGCGGGTCTCTCTGCTGCTTCTCCGTGTCTCTGTGGGTCTCTGCTACCAGAGTGTGTCCGGTCGGGTACCGCCCTAATTTCACCCGTGCACTTTCCTCAATATGCGAGTTCCGCTGGCCGCTGGACCACACGGGAATAGTGCGAGGCGGCTAAAGCTAGGGCTCCTCGAGTCGATGACGGAGGAATGCTGCCCCCCGGAGAGGCTGGATCGCTGGCAGTGAGAGAGACGGGACTCAGCTTAGTCCGTGTTATAGCTTTTTATTAAATGACTCTGCTTGGCTCCAGGTCTGTGTTTCAGTTCCTAGCTTCTAGTGATCCAGCTCTCTATTATTGGGAGAAGACTGGGATATTTTATACTGTAGGGGCAGTGGTAAAAGCTATAGCTGAGAGGCACTTTGTGAGATACCATATTTACATATGGAAGTGGGCTCCTGCCATGCTGCCAGACTGCCAGATTGCCTGAAAAATCACACAGGAAAGCATGGTATTTCCAGAGCCAGAGGCTGTGTTTCTGTTGGGACATTGGCGGGCACTTCAAAAGCTGAGTCAGGAGGATGCTAGGAAAAGCACTCTATTGTTAAAAGGAGTCCCTGCATTTACGCTGAGCCCATGGGCTATCCGGTCATGGAGGAACTTCTACTTCACACAACAGGGGTGCCCAACAATGTGCTGCTGTGCCCTTCCCAGTTCCACAGTGTGAGCAGGGATTCTTCCCCTGCCTTCTCAACATCAATGCCTCTGGCATGGGACTTACAACTTCAGGGACTGATTGCTGCACAGCTGCAAAACACACTAGTAACCCATAATGGTTTACAGCTCTGGGTAGTTACTAATTCACAGATTTTTTTGCCATATTAATAAATTCATAATGATTTCTGAAAGATGCAGACAATTATGAGGAGGCTGGGTTAGACCTAAAGAACTTTGGAATTTCCTTCTTCCCTTCTACCAAAAGCTCAGCTGAGAGCTTCTTTCTTTAAATCACATGAAGAACAGTAGCCTTGAGGAGGTGGGTTCCTGTAGCTAGCTAGCAGTGTACTCCTGGAGGCTGGCAGTAATACACAGAGCAGACTGGGAGGGCTGTGAGAGACTGAGCGTTCTCTGGTCCTGGGTAGAAATGCGCAGAGCAAATGAACAGCAGATTTCAGCACTGCAATCTCCCCAACAGTCTATGTATGTTATGGTTTTGCTATAAACCACAGCAATATTATCGTTTCCAGATTCCAGATGAAGCCAAAGGTGACTTAAGGACATTTTGTGATACTAGGGCAGAGACAGCCCACCCTGCTGCTATCATATGCTGTTTGCTCCAGAAAACACAGGGACAACGCTGCTGTACTAGGGAGTGTCCTGGAGGAGGGCCTGGTAAAAAGGAGAGGGGTGTGTGACATCAGCAAAGACAGTGAAAGTTCCCAGCTGCCCTGGGCCTATGGAAGGATGTGTGCTTTAAATCAGAGACCCAAGGTATTGGGGCAGTGGTCTCTACCCAGGCTGTCCTGTACCTGAGACCTTCCCATGGAAACACACAACCTGCAGGGCAGAGAAGGCTGCCCCATTCTGATAGATGTGCTCTGTTGCCTGGCACCAAGTCTCAATTGCTCTTTGTTGTGTTAACCCTCTCGGAGAATTCACCCCTCCTAACAAGAGGCACACAAGTCCAGTGCGGATCCTCCCCCTTCTGGCTGAAGGCACCTATGTGCCACACCCTCCAGGACAGGACACTTACTTGAAGGTTGGGGATTTTAAAGAACTCTCCCAGATGGCACAGGCCTCTTTGACTCAGGTCTAAAATCGGCGAAGAAGAAGAAAAGACCCTCTCAATAGCTGTGTCACCATCACTGGAAGGGGAAGGAGGCTAGCCATAAACAGCGGCAGCGCCCTCCTTGAGATCAGGATCACTGTCAGCCTGCAGGCTGCCTAGCAGCTGCTGTCCTCCATCTGGTGCCTTCCAATGGCCACTGCTCATCCTCCTTGGTCTGGAGTCACCTGGAAACAGGAAGGGGCATCCTAGCAACCAGGAGTCACACTGACCCATTCATACAGGATGGATAGACTAGCTGGGGGCAGATACATAGTGGCTTAGCTTGCAAAAAGTAACAGTCCCATGAATTTGGCTTTTAGAGTTTAAAAATTGGAATACACAAAGGATCTGATTAAATTCTTTGTTCCTCAAATTGTAACATAAAATCTGAAAAGGGGGGTGTTGAGACAGGGTCTCAAGTAGCTCAGGCTTGCCTCCCATTCACTGTGTAACTGAGATGCGCTTTTAACTCCCGATTTTCCCTGCATCTGCCTCCAAAGCGCTGAGATTACAGGCATGCAGGGATCCGGCTCCAATTTAACATTTAACTCCTGGAAAACCCCAGAAGTTAAACGATGTCAGTAAAAACGAGCATGCTAGGATGGACCCGGGTAAGGACCTTCAGTTTAAAGTCTACAAACCAGCTGCAAAACTGGGAGAGGGTTAGGGTAAATGTGTTTCTTCTTTCCACCCTTGTAATTCCAAAACCCTGAGGTCAGGAAGTCAGCCACCTGCTCCCACTCTGACCCAGGCCAGATCAAACAGGAGCCCAGGTGGGCACTGGGAAAAAACTGAACTATGAGAATTTTGTATCTTGGTTCAGCAACGATTTTCCTCAGCATAGACTAAGCGCTGTGGTTCACCGGAACCTCCTTGGGGAAGACCAGTTCCACCTGTACTCTGAATCAATCCGGCAATGATGATGGATGTTACGCTTAACAGTTTACCAGCATCGGCCCACTGGTCAGCCCAGTGACACTCTCTTCAGGGAGGAGGTGACTTTTCCATCAGTTAAGGAGCTGCCCCAAGAGATGAGAGCTATGTGGAGCCTGAGAGGGTGGAGCTCCGCAATGTCTTCTGGCCTTTGCAAGGCCTGTGGTTTTTCTCTGCGCGTCAGTTAGGAGGGAAGGGTTGGGTCTCCTACAGATTCCACAGCAAGGAAAGCGCCTTAACATCAGGCGTGCAGCAGGGCCACACAAGCTGTGCTGCTCCCACACCCGGAAGGGTTGAGTGGAGATCGACCTTTGAGCCTCAATTTTCACAGCTTAACGGCCGAGGGACCAGGCCATAGTCATCTCCTGCCACCGCATTCCAGTGGCCCCTC